CAGCAGGAGAAATCACTCCAGTAAGAGTTTAATGGGTAGAGAGATCACCTCTCTGAGCAGTACTCAGACTACCTCAGTTGGCACCTTGGGCAGAGGAAGCTGCATCAGAGACACTTGAGACCAGACCGGAGAAAATCTCTGAAAGAAGCTCAAAAGCCACAACAAGTTGGGTCCTGTCCCCTGACAGAGGACATCCTGGAGGTGAAGAATAAGAGGGTGCAAATCCAGGACTGTGTAATTCAGGTGGTGTCTGCCGCAATGGCTCAGGGAGGGAGAAGATGGGCAACAGGATGAGGGACTTTGGTCCCTGCTGCCCACCAAGCCAGTAGGAGCCTTCACCCCAGTGCAGTGAGTGGTGGCTTTGGCCAGGAGGCTGAGGAGGGCTTCTCAGGGAAAGGGCTGCACAGCAGAGTTGCCATAGTTTAGTGCCTCATCCAGGTGGCACATCCTTTCAGGGCATCCCAGGATTGCACAGAAAGAACTTGAGCAGATAAGTGTCGAAGAATGAAAGCGGGTCTAGACTGTTATGAAGCGAAAGGTTTCTCCACCTGAATTTTTCTAATTTCCATGGAAATTTTTCTGTTTTTCACATGGAGATGTGAATGTCTTGAAAGGAGCAAAGACGGTGGTTCTGTTATTCCAAGGTAAAAAGTATGGAGAGTCCTCAATCCAGCTTTATCAACTATAACTGACATCTACAGGGCTAGTTCTGCATGGGTTAAGAAAAAGTAGTGGTAAAATTTCATTTATTTTGTGCTTCCATTTTAGCAAAAGGATGGGCAAACCACAACCCCGGATGCTGCGTTTCTCCACCAGTAAAACATATTTTGTACTGAAAACCAACCATACTTTTTTATTATTTTTTTTAAATAAAGGCAAACAAATCTCTACAGATCAATGTTCAAGAAACAATTCCCTCCTTTCCTGTTGCAGGTCATGTTTCCATCCTGTCTTCTGGAAACCAAAAAAGCATGCCTAAACAATCCCAGCTCAGGTCTTGTCAGCGTGTGGCTGCCCTGCTTGGCTCACTGATGTTTCAGGAATATCTGCAGCCATCAAGGCAACATCTTTCTTTTATCCAGATAAGCAGAAACAGCAAAACTTCAGACCACCACCATCATCTCTGAAGATCAGTCACTCAAGACTGCACTAAAGCAGTGAATTACGCTCTTAACTCTGTCCACAACTATGGCACTTTGCTGGCGCATCTGATCACCAAAACTAAGAATATCAGTAAAACTGCTCCAAGATACACACATTTGCTGTATACTGGTATGACAGCTAGGACAGATCTTCTCTCTCAGTAAGGCAGTCCAGTGAGAAAAATAAGCTCCTGAACAGGAGCTAAGCAGATGTTAGAGATGCTTTCAAGTTATGAATATGAACATGGAGTATACTAAAGCTTTAGATATCCATAGCCAAATATAAACACAACTGCCATCCTCTGACATATACCAAAAACAAGACAAGGACATTGAAATATGTTTAAATATTTTTTGTGACTTTTATATATTTATGTGTGTGTATATATATCTATATAAAAGCAAAGGATAATAACTCACAAGAAACCAAAAGCATTTTGGCAAAAAAAAAAATAAAATAATCCTGTATTGTCTACATTAAAATCACAAGCTAATTTGTAACTACAGTTTCAGGTGATTCAGACCCTCACACACACTAAATCAGGATGTGCAGAATTAGGATAATCTGCTTGCAATTACAATTGTTTCACTGTGCGTGAAATGGATGGCAGCAGTAAGCCTACTCCAAGTTGTAAGACATTTAGGTATCCATGTAGTGTCACGCTTCTTAGGAGAGGGGAGGAAGAAGGGAAAAAAGATATCTTCAAATATTTTAGAAGCTCATTGAAGATAATATTTAAAAAACAAGATTACTACCCCCACTAAATTATCAGTCACTAAATGCATCAGTCCTTATTTTCTGAATCACCATCCCTTAGAGTCCAAACCTGTTTGGAGAACAGGAGGAAAATTCAGGTATAAACCATGAGTGATTATCCTTGTCTACTTTGCTTATTGTTAGAATACAGCAAACAGAGGAATCTATGTTTTGAGAAAACTTATTTACAGGAGTTTGTAAAACAATACATAGAGAAACTATTTGTGTCTCTCTTTATAAACTTTTTTTCTAAAAATACTCATAGAGTGATTAAAAAAATCATTAAGCTTTATTATGAACATTTTGCTGGAGTGGACACAACAGAAGGCAACAGACAGTGAAAAATCATGGCATACATTTTCAATAAAAAAATCAACAAGACAATATAGTTTAAACTGGAACAGCCTGCCTGAATAAGGGTTGCTATCCAAACTATACACTACTGCTATTAAAATTAAATGAGAAGAGCAGTTCATGCTATTTATTGCTGGTTTCACCCAGAAGGTTATTTCTCTTTAATGTTACTCACATCGTCCTCTTTGGTTCCACCCCAGAAATTAGTCCCACCAGCGTAGCTGGGAATGTTTAGCACAGCTATGCCCTGCAGACTTGGAAGGGGGATGTACTGTCCGTCACACTGTAATGGATAAAAGCTCATTCAGTATATAAATAACGTGATAAAAGTAATCAGCCATTTTTAATACATGAAGATTCAACAGAGCTAGCGGGGGGGATGGAGTCATTAATAGGTTGACACAAGCCTATTCCACCCATGCTGTGAAGCATCTCTAATACAAACCTCTTCTCCCCAATCTTAGCAGTCACTTTTGCAGAGCTGAAAAAACACTAGTATCTACAGCAGAGGTGTTCTGTGGCTCTTCAAAGAAACATTTTCACAGTTTCACATTGAGTTAAGTGTATTAAGCAGGGAAAAAAAATAATCAAAAGAATCCAAGAATATTTCTGGCATAGCCACAAACACATAATTAAATGTAAGTGTTGTTAGCACTCGTATACTTGCCTTCCTGTAAAAATAACTCAGTCTTCTCCCAAAAGTGCAAAGGCAAATCTAAGAATGACCCCACAGCTGTTACCCTGACCATGGCTAGGGGTTGCTGATTTTGCAGGTAAGAGGTCACTCCTATGACTGACCGTTCAGTCCTCTCTTACCTCTTTATCCTCCAAAACCCCATAAGTAACACCAAGTCCTACTCAACACGATCATGGGATGACATAGGTCAATCTCACCCTACATATAGCCACGAGTAAATTTACAGGCGTCAGTGAAATCACACTTGACTTACAGCGGTACAACTGCCTGCAGAGATGAACCAAATAATCTCAAACCATTCAACTGCAGTGAAAAGTGCAGTCCTACAGCAGTGCCACAAGTGCGGATTTAAAGCAAGTTGGAAATGTAAGGTCATAAATGCTGGATGCAGGTGTCACTTTCAGGATCATGCATTTGTTGGTGAAGTTGCCTTTAAAGAAGCTTGCCAGATTACCGCAAGTTACCGGTCCCACAGAAGGATCTTAAAATTATACAAATGAAATAGAAATCCTCAGGAAATAAGGACAAAATCAATAGCAATTTAAAGAGATGCAAAATTATTTCCAGAATGTTCTTAGTGCTCTCGTTTTATGATTTAATCTCAGCGACAAGACAGAATTTAACATTTTGATCAAAATGTGACAGTATCCAAAATATGCTGTGACATTAATAGATGCTGCAAAGCCATTTGTATTACAGTAGAGGTCTGCCTCCAATTCCTGAAATTGATATTTTTAATTTTCCAATGCCATGCACCTTATCACACATTTTAGCATAAAGCTAATATTATGCAAGGCAATACTAAATATGAAATTTCTATTTGCTGGTTTACTTCCAGAAATATTCAAAAACAATTATGGAAAGGTCAGATTTGAATGCCTTATTGAATCTTATTTGAATCTTATTCAAAAGATCCTTAAATTAGAATTCTATCTGCAGCATACATAACGTCCTTTCCTGTCATTATATTTGCCAACTACTGCATAATTCCTTGATAATTACTCAATCCTTAGATAACAGCAATCTGTTGCTACCAGACAAGATCCTCCTAAATCTCAGAGTGAGAAAGAGTTTCAGTAACTTAAAATTATTCTTTCAACTTAAAAAGTTATCTTCTTATAAATATCATGAACTTCCATATGAAACACTTAGCACAAAGTAAAAAGAGAAATTATGTATCTTCTCTGCCAAAATCCAGCCTAGATATTCTTTGGATGAAAATAACTGTAACGGTCCCATAGTCTTTTTCTGCATTTGGTAATAATTTATCTCTCTTTTAAGTTCCCAGTATTGTGAAGAAGACTTAGATTTCATGGTAGAACTTAAAAGACAACACCCCCCCATGTTTAGATAATTTACACTGCATTTTTTTGTTGCTGTGATAATATCTTGTTTCTTTTGTCTGACTGTCTCAAACATCTATTAGAGAAAGTCTCTAAAGATGTAGCTGGGCCTCTTGTGATGCACATTCAGAATCTCCCCTCTTCTACCAGGAATTTCTGACTGAGATCATCTGTGTGGCCTCCCTTTATGTGTAATCAAGCTTTCAGACAGTTTTAAATGAACCTGAAGGATTAAGACTCCTTATCTCTTTCCTTGTGTTTAGTGTGTGTTGATTTCCATCATTGTCCTTAAAATCTCATCTCCTGCTTTGATGCAGTGAACATTAAGAAACATATCCTACCTATACAATAAATTGTTTTAAAAAAAACCCCAGTAATCACAAGAAACATTATACTGGGTATTCTGGGATATTTAAGTACTGACAGTTCACTCCAAAAAAACACCTGGGGAACCACTTCTAACACAGCATATTTTTACACAGTGCCTTTGAGGTCAACTTGGGTTGACACAAGAGCTCTAAAAGGTTTCAAGAAAAAGCCCAAGTTCTTCCCTACAGATTGCAGAAGGAAAAATGTTCATTCTGCCCATAAATAAAAATTACCTCAAGTTGAACTTTTTGTTCTAAGTTCTTGTAAGTTCTCTGCAGTAGCTCTTTTGTGCCAAGAACTCCATACCACATCATGTTTTTTGTCCGACTTCTGAAAACAGGTAAAACAAGATTCACATATTGAAATACACACTTTGTATTGTGTTTGTAGGATGAGACAAAATTAAGAAATTCAAATAAAGAGATAAGGAAAAGAAAATAATGGGAATGTCTTGGCTCTGTTACCGACAATTCTATTACCTGCACTTTTCAGGGTGCTCCTCTCGCTTGTTATTAAATTCTAGTGAAATTTTTGCATCTAACCCAATTCCAAAGTAGTTGTTCATGACACATTTTTCTGAATATCCCTCCCTGTTAAAAGAAAAGAGATAATTAGGTGTACATTCGTACAGTACCTGGACACACAGAGCTTTGACCAAGATTTGGGTTGGTCTCAGAACAGATACGTCAGAGACACCAAGAGATGTTTCCTCTGAATCTCCCTCAGGAAACCCAGTGGCAGTCAAAGAGACAGACTGACTGCTAGCTCCTTTGCAAGTGCAAGTTACTTCCCATAGGACAAAAGAAACTGTAACAGACCTCCATCCTAGCACTTTCTCCACCATACCCAAAATTAACAGTGGAATATGAGGAAAAAGCTGCCCTGGGCATGGCTCTGAGACAGGAGGACCACACCAGGCTGAGCACCCAGGCTGTGTTTAGGTATGCTGGTGCTAGATGTTTGGCTGATGCTGCAGGGCACAGCAGTGCTTCGTTTTAGGGGAGTTGTGGCCCACAGCCAAGGTGCCATCCGTAAGTGTCTGCCAGTGCTACACCCGGTTCTGGGAAGCAGAGACAGCTTAGGACACAAAACTTCCACCTCAGTGCTCTAGTCCTGAAAGGGACACTCTTCATCTTCCTCCACTATGAAGTGGACAGACCTGCTTCAACATCTCACTGGTGGCTGAGCTCATGTTCAGACCAGCGGGTCAGGCAGGGGAACCCCGCTCTGAAGGACTGTTGTCCCCCTCCTCTCAGAGGCAGTGGGCAAGGGGTAAGTGAGCAAATGTCTCCTATTAATTCTGCTCCTGCGAGACAACTCTGCACTACTCATAACTAAAATGGCACAACCTAACCTATTTTCAGACCTTGAGGTCTACTGCCAAATGACAGCAAAGCAGAACTTCATAATGCAAAAAAAGAATACAAAAAAGTAAAACAAAAAGCTTAAGAAAAGCCAACCAAAGCAAAACAGTGATTCGGGGAAAAAAAAATAATAGTTTCTTACAGTGAATCTGGATCCGGGTCAATAAACGGCGTAGCACCAAATGGATCGATGTTTGCTAGCAACATTTTGCTAATAATTGAACTTCCTGCAATAGAAGCAGCTAGACCAGCCCTCAAACCTGATTAAAAAAAGAAGAAAAGAACAAAAAACCAATTTGTGTTTGGTAAACAGAGAAATATATATTGCCATAATATAAGCCACATAGTGAGAGACAAAATATTCATTAAATCCATATAGGGAATGATTGTGTTTCCATCTCAGCTTTTACCTATATTGGTTATCTTTTCAGGTCTCTGGCTCTCTTGAGCAGAAAGGCAGCTATGCTGCAGTGCGGTGGCTGACTCTTCAGGTACCACCATTGAGAAAGAAAAAAAAAAAAACAAAGAAAATTCAGGATTTCAGGCTAACACTCACTGGTTGGCATAGTAACCAAATAGGTGACCTAATATCCAAAAAGACTACCAGAGCTTTTTATTTAGTTTAAGCTTCACCCCCAAACTGTCCATGATTTTTCTTTGGTCCTTTTGTTTGGAAATATTCCTAAGGAATATCCTTACCTTTTTTACAACTGGAAGAGTCATAGTTTAACTTAATTTGTGGAAGGTCACAGCCTTGCCATGCCTACCTTGACTTAGATTGAAGTGACTCTGCAAAACACTGTGTAACGCATGTAAACAAAGAAAAGTACTTTCTAAAAGCTTTCACTTAAATTGACCTAAAGAAAAATGTAAGCTCAGTTCCATTATGTTTTAACTATACTAATGAAGTTAATTAAAAGAGTGTTTTACTGGTGCCCCCTAGCATTAATTGCATTTGGATAAGAACAGAGTTTTTTCAACTGTTAATTGCATTTAGAAAAGAATGGATTTTTTTAAACTGTTTTTACTGCACAGCAGCTTTGTGTAGTTTCAGTTATCCACTTCCTGAGAGGTATCTACAGACACCTCTTATTCAGAGGGTTGAACTTTATCCAGCTCTGTCCCTCTGCCCATTCATAGCCTCCACTGATTAGGATGAACGACAGAAGGACTTCGGGGTACAGGGGGATGAAAAATTGATCATGAGGCAGCAATGTGTGCTCACAGCCCGGAAAGCCAATTGTGTCCTGGGCTGCATCAAAAGCAGCATGGCCAGCAGGTCAAAGGAGGTGATTCTGCCCCTCTGCTCCACTCTAGTGAGACCCCACCTGGAGTACTGTGTCCAGGTCTGGGGTCCACAGCACAGGAAAGCCGTGGACCTGTTGAAGCAGGTCCAGAGAAGGGTCATGAAAATGGTCAGAGGGCTGCAGCACCCCTCCTATGAAGAAAGGCTGAGAGTTGGGGTTGTTCAGGCTGGAGAAGGCTCTGGGGAGACCTTATTGAGGCGTTTCAAAATATAGATGGGGCTTATAAGGAAGACCAAAAGACTTTTTACCAAGGCCTGTAGTGACAGGACAAGGGGCAATGACTTTAAACTGAAAGAGGGCAGGTTTATATTGGACATAAGGAAGAAATTTTTTACGATGAGGGTGGTGAGACACTGGCACAGGTTGCTCAGAGGAATTGTGGATGCCCCATCTCTGGAAGTGTTCAAGGTCAGGTCGGATGGGTCTTTGAGCAACCTAATCTAGTGAAAGATGTCCCTGCATGTGGCAGAGGGGTTGGACTAGATGATCTTTGAAGGTCCATTCCAACCCAAACCACACTGTGATTCTAAGATCCTGAGTTTCATTTTGCATCCTCCAGAATCAAATGCAACACTTCTGCTATATCTGGTTTCGTGCCAAATGATCAGGAACCTTCTACATTATTTTCCGTTTCCTACAATAAGATACAACACAAAGATGTGTATGTTGGTTGAAACAAACTCAGGGCTCCTGGCATGAATTAAAAATTGTTATTTGACAGCAAGTGGGGGAACAGAAGGCTATACAAAAGCAGTGTAAGGAACAGCAGGTTTCAAAATCACAATTACCTGGGCAGATAATCCTAGTGTTAAGCACTGGGAGGTTTTCCTTGCTTGCAGCCAAAGCTGGAGCAGAGAAAGAGCCTGTCTGAGAATGGATACCTCGGCTTGTACGTCGATCTGGAGATCTTGGTGCAGTTTTAACTGTGCAGAAGAAGTCAAAGTAAAAGCACTAATTAGACCTATTATGACACACCAACTACATCATTTTTACAGCCCTGAAAATATTTCAAAAGCATTAATTTAATCTGTTACCATTCTGTGACAAGTGTCCTTCCCCCTCACACCACAGTTTTCTTCTAAATATAGGGAAGAAAACTCAGAAACAGATCAAGTGACAAGCACAAATTAAAATTAACAAGTGTGCATGGCATTCAATGTGACGAGTTCCCAACTTATGCTTCAAGCTACCAGCAAAAATTGAATTACATCCACCTTTAATGCTGTAGTAAGTTTCTGATAAACATGTTAATGAAGTAATACAAATTTAAATTTAAATTCAACGTATATTTACTTATAAATATATTTGTATTTACAGTTCATTATTATGTATAACAATTTTAATATTGATAGGTAAGCTTTCTAACCCATAGGCCATGGAAATACCTAATCAAGAGCCATGCTATTTGCTTCAAGCAGGCAAAATGGTCCCCTGCTTCCTCCAGGTTTCTGAACACCTCAGACAAAACTCTGACATCTTTATCTACAGCGGCAGAAAGCCATGTTCAGACATTCTTGTCTTCTGCAGTTACAGTGATTATGGGGGAGAGCCATTTACCATCATCTTTTCTTTTTCACAAAAATCCCAGCAATTCCCAAAGTAATTCCAATAACTTATTTGTTAAAATTCTCCAGAAGATGGATCAACAAAACCTTGAGACAGATAGCAAAGTTCGGTAGTTGATCAAGTTGTTGGTGACCAAAGCAGGTAATGGCTCAGGAAAACGAAGGGGAAGAAAATCAAGGGGAAAGAGAAGGTGTTCACACCGAGGAACTGGTAGCTCAGTGAGACCAGTTACCCCTGGGGCTGCCTCTGGAGATAATGATGAAAAATAGGCTTTTCAGAGGGCTCACCTCAGGGGCTGAAATTTATTTTCCTGGCAGAACTTGTTTCCTGCAGACTGAGAGAATATGCCAGTGCCTGGGGAAGTTAATCTTAGTGAAATTCAGCCCTGTCAGGCATAGCCAGAAATTGGTGCCCCAGGGAAGAAAGTTTGGGTATTATCGTATGCTTTGCTATAGCATTTCTATGTGCATGTAGAAAGCTTTTGCACACCAGATGATCACAGACAGATATTTCTTGGCTACCTCTGCTCCAAATTAGCTCATATGTTAAAACTACTTCAGCTTATGACAACTTCAACCTTGACCACCTGAAGAAGCTGAGAACAAAAACTGAAATAATTTCAAAGTGGTCTGATACATTCCTCTCAAAACCTGAAAACTAATTCTGCAAAAATAGAATGATTAGGACTAGCACCAAGAAAACAGAAGAAAAACACCACCAGGAATGTGGTAGGAAGTATAAAATGTACCCTTTTTTGTGACAGATCAGTTCATGCCAATCACGATAACTCAGCTTGAGTAATGCAGGTGTACTGTCTGAGGACATTAACCGAAAGAAAATACAGAGTGGGAAAATCTAGAGACAAAGGTAATAACAAGAACCAGGTGTTAGAAATTGTGTTCAAATCAATTCAGACCAGGATTTGGGCGTTCACTTTTCTTTTAAGTGATGATAACTTAGCACAACACAGTCAATGAAACGGCAAATTCTTCACCCTTTTGTATCCCAGGAATAAGATAACACACCTTTCTGGATGACTTCTTTATGTTAAACTGAAATTATTAGATGCAGGACAGGGATAAGTGGGTGAAATTTTATGGACTGTTTTATATCAAAGGTCTGACCAAGTGGCCTAACAGCTCCTTCTGACTTTCACCTCTGCATAACAGCGTTAGCAATTATCACAAAATGCTATAGTATTGCATGATAACAATACAACATCATGATTTGTATCTGTGCACAGCGTAACACTGTAATATAAAGTTAAAAAAAGTAAAAGAAAGAAAAACTGCAAGTGGTATCTGACAAGAGTTATTAAATATTTAGATGGAAGTAATTAACACATGGAAAAATATTATCTTCATCAAATGACCAGGAAGATCCTCAGAGGGTAAAATATAATATTCAGAACTAAATTAGCATTCATTTTTCATAATGCTACTGAAAAATTCACAATGCTATTCACATAGACTGTTCTCTTTCTACTTGGGAACAAGGCAGTTATATTAAATAGGAAAATCAACAGAGCAGCTGCTCTTTATTTGACAGATGAGACTCATGGGGATAACTGCAATAAAGATAAACTTTTGCTGTTCACGCTCTGATAAAAACAACAGAGCCCTAATGAGTAAAACTAATGTTTCTTTGCAGATGATTGAATTCATGTTTCATGCTTTGTCCCTAAACACCTATCTTCCACTGACAGCATTAATATGCACTCTATTTAACACATGAGATCTATGAAGAATAGTACGGCTCCCCAGAACCCACAGCAATTGTACCACCAAGAAACGACGTGTTCATATATATTTCTACATATGGCTAGACATATGCATATATTTTTATTTTTTTATATATTTATGGCAGCAGGTTCAGGTCATCGGTAGGGCCAGCATCCTCTATGAGTTGCTATTGAAACTGGACAACCAACAAGCATTCATTCATAGAATCATAGAATGGTTTAGGTTGGAAAGGACCTTGAAGATCACCGAGTTCCAACCCCCCTGCCATAGAGAGGGACCCCTCCCACTAGACCAGGTTGCCCAAGGACACATGCAACCTGGCCTTGAACACCTCCAGAGATGGGGCCTCAACAACCTCTCTGGGCAACCTGTTCCAGTACCTCACCACCCTCAAAGTCAAAAATTTCTTCCTAATGTTTAATCTAAACCTGCCCTCTTCCAGTTTAAAGTCATCCCCCCTTGTCCTATCACTACATGCTCTACTAAAAAGTCCTTCACCAGGGGAAAAGGAGAGGGGCCAATGAAGAGACAATCATTGGAGACAGTCTGACACCTATTCCTGGAGAATCAGAAATGTAAGATCCTGAATGAACAGATGCCCCAAGATACTAATGCCATTTTTCTAAGGTAGGAGTTACCGACACAGGCACCAGCTTCAGAGCAGAGCCTCATGAGGACAATATCTTTTTTCAGGATGTTAATGAGGGTTAGGGTAACAGAAGGAGATGCAAATCCCAAACACCTTTGCTCATTTTGCCACAGGAAATCGCTCACCAAATATCTAGAGGGTGGGTTTTGCTGTCCACCAGCCAGCACTGTTTCTCCATGACTTGCAGATCATCTTGAGACCTCACCTGCAGTGCATCACTGTCCACTTTGATAATATGGTAAAGACCGAAATTTCCACCTATAGTGAGGAGCAGCTTTCCTAAAATCATTACACAGCTTGAGACTCATGAACAACCCTGGCACATGAACTACCAGTCATCACAAAATGTAGTATTGATGTTTGCAATGGAAAATGTCCAAACATGACCTCTGGCTGGACTAGTGGGTGCCAAAACCAAGCAAAGGAGGAGGTGAGTGAGAGTCCTACATAGACAAATCCTCCCTCATTTTTCCACTACAGCCACTCACTGGCAGATTTCATACAGGACACATGAAGGAGATTTTACACCAGCACTTGAATGTGGGAATTAGTACTATGCTATTTCAGGAGATGACTATTCTCTAAATATTATTTTACACACAATAAACATATACTGAACAGCCAAAAGGAAAGCTTAGTGACAAAACGGGCTATTATTTTGTGAAAATGCTACCTTCCAAGCAAGTCATTTGAAACTCAGATCACTCAATATTCGGATTGCTTTGTACAATTATTGATACAAATAATACAACTGGGTTCTTTCTGTTGTATTTTAAAACCCGACATGGGCTTCTACCACCATGTTGCCTTCCTTTTTTTGGACAGTAACCTGCAGAGCCCCCCAGTGAGGACAGAATGATGGTCCTACAGCAAAGCAGGAGCACTGAGACAGTGGCAGCTCACAAAATCCATGTGACTAAGGACAGGGCAGGTAGGGGGCTCTACACCTTGGAAAGCAAGAGTAGTTTGGTATAGTGATTGCTATATGGTTTGCTATACAGCAGCCAATAGCTGCAAGGAATTAGCTGGACTAATGTATACCTGTATTTGGGACAAGACAAGAATTTTTTCTTGGGAAGGAGCTCTAGGATATTGAAGACTTTGGTTCAAATTTCTGTTCTGGATTAGACAAATACAGCTTAGTACTGCCATTTCTCAGGAGACTTCTCCGGCTTCTATTACCTTCTTTCCTGCTGTTCCACTTCATATAGAAGACTTTAATTCTCTCTGTTTCAATAACTGTCTCAAGGTAAGTTCCCAGCTGAGACAGCAGGGGTTTGTTGTCAATACAATGAATAAATACGTCTGTTTCAATCAATTTGAAACCTCTTCAACAGAAATGACTGACAGAAATCCCTATAATATGCCCTAAAATGCCGACAACTGAGGCATGGCACTGCCACCGTGACCTAGACTCTAATTCCTCCTCAGGTTCACATAGAAAAGCGAGTGTAAATACTGGATTTAAATGCAGACACCTCTCTCCCCAAAAAATACCTTCTCAGCTTTGTAAATCCATTCCAAAAGACTCTTCATCTCATCTCCTGCGTTTTTCCCTCAACTTTTATTTATCCAAACCTATTAAAATTTCTGACTAGTTTCCAGTGAAATAACATGCTAGTATTTTTAATTATGGAGCCAACGATGCTCCATAATACAGCTATAAAGAGACAACATCATTTTAAATTATTTTATTCCTAATTCACTCACTTGATGGGGACTCGAGTTCCTTTGTATCTTCCTCTTTTTCCTCTTCTTTGGATTCATCCAATTCTTTGCTATATTCTAGTGGGGACTGGTTCACTTGTTCTTCACTATGAGCATTCTGCTCATCCACAACTGCTTATTAAAAAAAGACAGAAATTCTCAAGATCTTTAAAGAAAATCTGCAAAAATTGAAAATTAGCTTCTTTTTTTCTGTAGCTTTAACTTTCAGTTAAAAAATACTAACAAAAGATTTCTATTGCCAATTTAGTGAAAAAGAGTCTAGCAATCCTTTGCCTATTGATAGAGATTTACTGCCAGAAAATTTCCTTTTGTGGAGGATAATAGTTACAAAAGAAACACGCTTGTATACGTGGACACACGTGCATACATATGTATTCATATATGCAGACAGATAGTCATCAACATCCAAACAAGCTGCATTTCTTTCCCTTGCAGCTTGTAATAAGCATATAATTTTATCTACGTAAAAATGTAGAAATCAAGCTTTAATAATGAAAATGTATGCCAGTAAAAAAAAAAAAGCCGCATCATTATTCTATCAGTAAGGATCAAAATGTTGCTGATGTGCACCTTTTTCTGCTTGTTCAATGATCTGCCTCACAGCCTTCTTCAAGCTGTTTGCCCGCAGCATTAACTGTTCCCTCGGTTTGAAGAGTTTCTGGGTGGAAGACTTTGAGACACACTCCCCTAATTGCTCTTTACTTTCAGACAAGGATTCTTCACTTGAAAACTCCTCTGCTTCTTCTTCCACAATGGGGGGAGTGATGCCTGGCAGAATGGGAGCAGCCTGGGCTTCTGTGTGAAGAGCCTGGAGCAACAGGTCTAGCTTCTCATTTAACTCCGTGCACTAAGACAAAGTGGAAAAGGATTTAAAATTGTCCGTGTCTAAGTGTCTATGTCATTGTCTATGTCAAATCCAAACCCAGGTTCAATATTTCATAATACTAGACTATGAGTAGGTCTGCATGGGCTTTTGCAGGCTCTGTGACACCCAACCAGGCTAGAGCAATTACAACAAAAAAACCTACACTCAGACTAAAATAACACAGCATGCTAAACTCAGCTTGCCACCTAACTAGGGTACAGATTAGATCTTTCTCCTCTCCCAATGGCCAGCAGCACAGAGACAACCAGCACAGATTTGCCCATACCATGCTGTATAACAAATTACGGGTGTTCAATACCCCGATTTGGAGAGATAACCCATGGGAACACGCCCAGCTCTTAGACTGAAAACACATGGTGGTTTTGGGTTGGTTGGTTGGGGTTGGTTTTTTTTTTGGAACACAGCTGTACATTTAAGCGAGTTGTCACAGAGCAAAGAGGCCCAAGCCAGAACCAAACACTGTTGAAGACTTCTACCCCTGACGGAGCAGTTGCTCTCTAGCTACACTGGAAAAGAGGTGACTTTCTGTGCTTAAGGGAAAGGAAACCAACACTGTTTGGCCCTGGAACAGTAACAAATAAAATTCAGTTCCTAAAATGTGCACTGAATAGAAACATGAACCAGGAACTGCCATTTAGCAAGTACATTTCCTGACTCTGGGATTGTTAGTTATTTTATTATCTTCTATTCTTTTCAGGTCATGTAAATGTTGTACCTCATACCAAATCCTTCTGTTTTTTTTGTTTTCCAATGCTTTTATAACACGATCTCTACAATTTACAACTTAAACCATTATTTTTAACGCTGTAGTCTCTCTTCTTTTCATTCTCCCAGCGTATTCTCCCTTCATTATCCCATTTTTTCCTGTAGCTAACTTAATCCCTTTCAGAGAAAAGTGTAACTCCTAATGCAGAATATTTCCATTTATCTCTGTGTATGTTACCATGTACTTTATCCTTTCTGAAGGAAAAAGTGTAAACAGAGTTTATAGAGATCTTACGGTTTAAAGATAGCTTGGAAATAATTGTTCTATGCTCTATGAAGAGAAGAATTTTAAAGTCACTGGTTGAAATGGAAGTGAAGTGGGCATCCCGGAGAGGTTTAAAAAATTAAACAACCATGAGCTATAACACAAACCCACAACTTTAAACCAGAAAATAGTCATTGTCTCACTTTAATGGCCATGGCATCAGCTTCCTCTGCATTTTCCATCGGTTTTTCATAAGTCTTCCCAATTTTGGCAACAAAGTCCTTTACAGTTTCACATAATATTCTTCAGATAAAAATAGGAGAGAAGAGAAATGAAATGAAATAGATACATTTTGAATATTAAGTTCTTATAGCAATTGGTTTATGTGCATACTGCTATACACCATTCTTGTTGGAAACTGATCTCTGTAACCATACTTGCGAAGCAGATGATACTCTTTTTCATGGCTTGCCAAATTCAAGCGGTAAGCTTTACAAACAAAAACTCTTCCTCCCTTTTTACTTAAGCTTTTGCACACATTGTATTTAAGTCTCTTATACCTAAGAACTGAAAGAAACATGGCTAATTTTATTCATCCCCTTGCTTGTACACCTTCCATACCAGAGTTGTTAGCAAACTTGCCTTCACTTTCTTAACTTAAGACACAGTCTTGCAAACCCCCATGCGAAGATGGAGCCTAGAAGCCACAGGGAAAATCTACTGACTTTAACGGGGCACTTCTTAGGTGACAGCGTATGGCCACACACGTCCCATTGCACAGCTCATGTTTCTGAACCACAGCTGACCCAGAGGCGTATCCACGCAAACTACAGTGGCTGCAATCAATTTTCATTGTGTAACTCAGAGAAAGACTTGGTTCTTATTACCGACACAGCAGACAGACAGCAAACGTTAACGAGGTGTGGATAATTGCTTAGTACTGTTCATTTGGTTGAAATTTATTTGACAGAAACTAAATAGATTTAACAAGTTACAGACCCAATTTAGAATTTGGAGTTATAATAATATCCTGCAGTTTAATTTTCAACAGGTGGTATGTATACTTTAAAAATGAAATTGTATTAACTTGCTTTTAGCAGGAAAAAAAAAAAGAGGCATAATGACATTCAGACATATTTTTGAAGATACTGTCACTGGTCTCTTGCATATCGCAAAATATAAGTTTTTTTCACAAAGAAGGTATACACAGAATATTTCTGATTTCAGATAATGCCCATGATTTGTCGAGTAATTACATCTCTTGTTTAAGTGTTTCAGTTTGAGGGAAAAAAATCTGTTGCCTGAAGCCACTATTTCTTGAATTGATATAGACAGAGCTATCTTGCTGAAGTTCTCCTCCACATTAGTGAAGTTGTTTGTCCTCTTAATGATATGGATATTCATAAAACAAAACAGAAAAAATTTAACATGAAGTAGATTGCATATTTGCATTAGTAACAATAAATTTCATATTTAAGCTGTATACTGACTTGGAGTGATTGAAAATCACTTTATATTATTATTATGTGATTTTTTAAAAAACGTTGATGTGTTTAGAATTGATATCCATTACAATTGTACCATTTAAAGTTTCTGCAGAAAAAACATCCTCTCTAAAATATATACATCAAGATACATCAAGCCAAGCATCTGGGCCTTAGACAGAAGGTTATTATAGTTACGATGTTACACACGGGATTTATCCCACACATCATACATAAAACCGATCAACTCACTTGGCAGATGATATGACAACTGAGTGCTGATCAGAATTGAGAATTTTTGCAAGATGAGCAGCAACTGAGTCCTCATAAGCAGATATCTGAAAACAGAGAGAAAAAAAGACTTCAATTTCCACGTTTCAGAAGTTTAACACCAAGTAGTGAGTTAAAATGCCTCCAAAAATAGCAGGATTTCCATTTTAGATCTAATACAAGGACAAGCAGCTAGCAAAGCAGATTCCACCTGCATACTGTATTTTATGTACCAGATTTTTAATATTCAAAGTAACACTGCATCCGAGAACTTGATGCACATCTCTTTTCCTCCTGTAGAGGAAAGAATAAGTTATTTTTAGGCTAAAAATAGTCCACAAGGCATAAAAAATTCTACTTTCTTTTTAGATTGATAACAACCTAAATTATTATAATCTAATATCTTGTATTACTAAAACGAGCAAAGTTTCCCTCAAACTAAGCTGCACAACTAAAAATAAATCAAAAGTTTGCAGTTATAATCCTGAATTTTATTTTTACTGTCAGATGGGCTCTTACTCCCCAAGTACCCCTACTGAAAAAAGCTGCTAAACTGATAAAATGTTATCAGAACCAATCCTTATGGAGCAAACCAATTAGGGCTTAGTCTTTACAAGAACGTTGGGGAGAATGACTGTGTGCATCATCTGTCTTTTCGTGCAAAGAAGAAACATAAATCCTGAAACGCTCAGGCAAAGATTTGCAATGGATCAGATTCACACCTTCACGTGCTATATCCTGTCTTAAAATAGGCACGGATCCAACCTCAGTCTTAAGAGAAAATTCTAACCAAATTCCAAATCTAAAGCTAAAAATAAATGCAGTTCTGAATTTTTCCTTTAAGAATCTCCTAAAATCTCTTTGTGTCTTTTTGCCCTTGATATGGAGCAGGCAGATATACTGCTCTTTTTCTTCTAAAACCTAGCCTTGGTTGTAGAACACTGACAGTAAATCAGTTTTCATTTCAAGGGGAAAAAACAATATGTAACCATCTGATCTGTAAGAATGAACTACTGTTGTTCAAACATCAATATAAAACTTCTGGAACCAAACCAAATGAAACAAGTCTCCCAAAACTGGAGGAAAGAAAAAAAAAAAAAAAAAAAAAAAAAAAAAAAGAATTGTATATGCACTTTTATTTATTTACTTTCTGAAGTGTGCTTTAATATGTTACCTACTGTAAGTTTAATCATTCTTTTCCTGAAATATCGTAACTCAAGAAACTACACAAAACCCATTAAAATAGAGAGTGAACTTTCTCCAACTCAGAGTAATGTCAGGTAACTACAGCCTACAGAACCAATTTTCCAAAAAAGAGTTTTTGTATGAGCAGTTCCTTCCATTTTCAGGAGGAGCTAAATGCAATTTCAAAGCCAGAACTAACTGGAACAAAACGTGTATTTTTTCCTTTTCAAGGTGAAGATACCCTTGAAAATTTTAACAGTCTTTCAAAATTAGAGACACGTTCTGACACTGGAAAGAGAGCTGTGTACTAAGCAACCCTGCTAAAATCCCAGCCAGTAGAGCCCCAGCCTTTTTGCATCCCTACATCCAGCAAGCTATCAAAGATTATAAACTCCTTGCCAATTAAAACAGACTGAACTATTAAATTATTCAAGAACCTGCTGATTAATTATTGCTTCTCGAGTATTTTTGAGCTAAAGTTGATACGCATTAACTTTCTAAAGGAATACATTATTTTCTCATTTTTAGACAGACTTTTCATGCCAATTAATTTGATTAAAGCATCTCCCTCTCCCTCAAAATCGAAACCTCATCAGATAGTACAAGCACAAACCTAGTCTGAAAGACAGACTAAGCCTTTCTTTGAGGTCACTTTTGCGCTCTCTGAAAAGACAGAGAGAAAGTTGGGCAGCATCACCTGATCCAACTCGCTTTCACAAGCTGCAAAAAGCTTCTTTCTTTCTTTCAGATTACAACCTTTGCCTTCAAAATATTGAGTTGTTTCAGTGTTTATTCCAAACTCAAGATATCAAACATTTTGTAGATACATTAAAAAAATATTTTCATATATCTATATATTATAGTAGTATACATAGTATTATTATATAATGAAATAATGCGATATTATTATATAAAAATAATATATACATATATTCTTATAGAAAATAATTATAAGCCATATAATATTATATTATATAACAACAACATACTATTTTATACATATATCTTATAGAAAATAATTATAAGCCATATAATATTATATTATATAACAACAACATACTATTTTATATTATTATATATAAATGATGTATATTTTTATATATAAACTTTATATATAAACTAGTATATAAGACAGACAGCTAGACAGATATAAAAAGATACATTTTTCAGGAAGAAATTTTTCTGACTGAAGGCTCCTTACCTTCATTCATTTTTGGCAAATAATACAGAACTGGAAACCCTACTTACTTGAAATACACACCATAAACAGATGTTAACTCAGTTCAGTTAGCAGATCACAAAACATCTGTTTTTGTTTTTCATGCAGGTGCTTCAATTATAAATATTGTTATCCCAGAAGCTCAAAGTTAAGTATACGAAACAATAAAAGTAAAAGCTCACCTGACATTCCTCCGACTCTTCTGCAGTCACTGGAAGAATAGAAGGCTTTGCTGGTAATTTCAGTTCATATGACATTATACTCCACCTAAAAGAAGCACAACAGCTTTAAAGTTTCCAAATAGTTAGTTTTATCTTTCCTCCAACATACCAACAAAAAGAAAATTCAGTGGCACATCGATTGTTAAAACAAACGAACAAACAAAGCATCTTAATTTTTGATTGTATGCTAACTGTATATACGTGAAATAATTGAGACTAAAGATAATAATTGGTTTTACTGCTCAGATTTTTTGTTAGTGATTTGATCACGAGCCTTCTTTGTGAGCAAATCATGAGGCATTCAATGCAGGCAACGAAGATTTTATAGCAAAACATTCACAGTGTAAAAGAATTCATGCAAACAAACTGCAGAAGTCAAAGGAAAACAGATGTGTTCCTAGAGGAAAAGCTCCAAGGTAACATTAGCATTTCATCTCAACTAGGGGCGGGAGGCATAAGAACAAAGCAAATGGTTAAGTATCTTCACTGACATATATATATTTTTTCCCCTGGTAAAGGACAGTACTCTACAGCATAGATAGTATGAAACCACTAATAGCAACATCCTTCAAAGCCTACTGAACAGAACAGGTAATCACTGCAGATGGCCTTGGGCACAAGTCTACTGAAATTAGAGCGAAAAATGACACTGAGCTCTTTTCAGCACAGAAAAAGACAAACATGATTTCATCTACAAATCTTTCAGAATGCCCAGACCGACAATTATTTCTAAGGATCAGTAACAAGCACTTCTCTATATACTTTGCTGCAAAATGATCAAGTAGTCTGAAGAAAAGATTAAAATAAAAAAAGGACTCTATTTCATTAAAAAATCCCTAAACCAAAATCCTCTTTGATCACATTCAAGTGTTTGTAACTACAGCAAGAACAGAAACACCCATGAGAGAAAGGAACAGAGTAAGAAATACTCCTCTCAAAACCAGTGTGTTACACCTTCATTGGAACAACATGACCATCATCAACTCTGGCTACTTTTAAACAGGGGTTGCTCCTTTGCTTTCTGGATGGAAACCACACAAAACAAAGAGCGGGAAGATCTCTTGGTTTTGACTAAGAAAATGCCTCAACCAGAAATATTAGTAGTGGATCAAGCCAAAGATCCAGTTAGCCCAGCACCTTGTCCACAGCTGATGCCTCGGGAAATTATATGAAGGGTGAAAGCACACGATGTGCATTCTCCCCGCATCCAAGGACAGAGCTCAGGTGTTTCCTAAATAAAGATGCTGCCTTTAATAGCATTTAATAATGTGCACGGAGTCCATAAAACTGCCCCAAACGGCTTTGAATTTATATAATTTCTTAATGCTTACAACTTCTTGTACCAGGCAGTCATGCAGCTTCATCAGTTACGCAATAAACTGTCACCTTCTGTTCATCTTTGGACAACACGCTTCCTAGTTTCATCAACTGCTCTCCCCTCTGACTCTTCAGTTGAAAAAGGACATTGAAGAGCTGTGCCCATTACTACCTCGGCTTGCCTCCTGATTATGATCTGTACCCTAAAAACCCAAACCACTGAACATCAAGTCTTTAAGACGGATTTAGGCTGTCATAAACCCAAACAAATACAATTTGAATCTCATGGTAAATCATGTATATGCACATTTAGGTTTACCTGTCTAACATTTTCGTGCTGGCTCGTTCTAGTTTCTCCAAAATCTGAGGAAGTTGAGTATCATCGTCACAGGATCCTCCCCAACCAAGGACACGAGCAAGGTCATTTCCAGTACCAAGGGGTAACACTCCTAACTGACACTGAAACACAACACAGGAGCAATTATACTATTGAAAACTAGAAAGAAAAAGCACAAACTACTACAAATGCTTGTTATTTCAAGCAACAAGTGCTAATTATATAGCTGATGTCTAAAGCTTGTAAACCAAATTGTGTAATCCCGATCCAACTTATTTACATCAGTGAAAATTTTCATTTATCAGTCACAATTGCGTTTGGCCCATACGCAGAGGTACAATAAAAAAGTCAAGGAAAAGTAAGCATGCAAAATTAAGTCCAGTCAGCACAGCCAAGGAAAGTACGTATGCACACTTGCCTGTTTGTGCAAGCTGAGCTTATCAATTTCTGACAAGACCCAACCCACACTTCCATCGCCACCACACACAAGAATCCTGAAGTTGTCGAACTTCTGAAATAACCGCAAACTGCAGAGAAAACACAGTCTGTTAGAGCCAGTTAAGTCCATTAGAGAGACAGCAGTTATATTCATTAGCAACTGTTACAAGATAATATGGTGCACAGCACCTTTATGGTCCTTCTTTTATTGTTCTGGGGTATATGGATACAACCATGTTCTGTATATTCCACTTATACTGACATTTCTGATAAATAACATGCCAAGTTTTACTTAAAAAAAAGAATCCCTTGATATTGTTTTCAGGATTTTATTAATATTATTTTATTAATATTTTAAAAAAAAAGTCTAAGCTATGAAATTGCAACTGCTCTATGCTTCCCACTTCAGCCAGAAGCACAAGGCACCATGGGGAATTTTTCACAAGAGGAGGTTAAGACACAATGACAGGATGTGCTCCACAACACGGGTGGGCTTTTGCCAACGTGTGACTAACTAAATGCAAGGACCGTTGGAGGCAATTATTACACAAAAGGTGATCAAGACAATATAAGACAAATACTAGTAGTATTTCATATTAAATCCTTAAGGCTGTATCCTGCTTTCGCTTCCTATGGCTCTTCCTCCTATTCTCTGACTTTTAACACCTCCAGGATACAACACTTGGGCAGTACAGAAAAGGAAGACAAGCGAGACAGAACAAGCAGAAAGGTGAGACACAGAGGAATGGGGAATGAGATGTGAAGAAACAGCCAAGAGGTAAAAACAACAGGGATTTAAACTTTAAAAAAAAACCCAAACCAACAGAATTGGAACGTAGAAACTCTTCAAATAATAAAAATAAAGATGTTTATTTTTAATGCATGTTATTTTCCAGAATATGTATAATCTCAGAATTATTTCTAAAAAGCAATATATTAAGATCACAAATTTTTGAAGCATTTATCTTCTTTCTAAAGAAAATAATGTCACTTGTATATGATAGGCAGATAGCTATTCAGAAAAAAGGATGGAGATATTTAAGGAAAAAAATCTTGATACCAGAACAATTTCTCGTACCCTGAGAAAAGACAGAAAACCCTCTAGAAATACACTATCTCAAAGAATGCAACTCTGCTTTTTAGATCAACTAGAAAAAAAGAAGACATCGACATGACCTGATAAAGTAACTGCTAAGGACCTCTCTTTGGAAACTGGGAAAAATATTTTCAAACTGACCTACGACTACTGTGCAAAACTGAAGTGAGTCTCCTGAACCACGCTGCTGGTAGGTATAACTAGAAAAAGCAAGAGAACTTGCAAACAGACAGACATATTTTTGTCTCTCCAGTTGAGATGAACCTTCTTTACTTTTATCCGTCATTGTAATTACATGTACAAAATGTTAGCCGAAAAGGACTTTGATTAAATTCAGATTTAAAGCAGGGTTATAATGAAAAAAATATTACACTTTAAAGAATTAATATAACATGTCCAAAACACAGTACTAACTATAGAAATCCACATCTGTATTCCATTATATTTGTATTATTTGCCCACTGTTTGAAATGAATTTTTGTGCATTTGTTTTGTCTATATTTTTATCATGCAAGCATTATTCTGCATCTGTACAAAGCTCAGTGTTTCTAGTTGCTGTAACTGATATTAATAGGCCATTTAACCACAATGCTACATCTGAGTGGAATTAAGTTAGACAACAGAAAAATGTGCACGAGTTTAATCTTTATGAATGTGCAAAGATGCTTGACTTGCAGCCACCACTATGCAAATTTCATCCCTATCTCTCCAACAACCAACCCTTAGATTTTGTCGAATTGCTGATGGTTTTAATTGGGTTCTTGCTCCAAATTTTGTGAGATGCTTGTTTTCTTGATCACTTGCGTATGTTGCCTAAAACTGTATTTTGAATGCAGTTTTCCAATGACAAAAGTTTTAGTGTACTCATCCATCAACCACTGCAGACTGACCCACTGATATTTGTGTTCAGAATTCGAAAAGATACAGAGTACATTTATGACAATAGTTTTATTCCATAACTATTCACAACAAAGCCACAGGAATATCTGAATTACGCATATGAAATGGAAGAAAACCACCCAGGCAACTGTGCATAAAGCTCCTGATCTTAAAAGCATCTTAACATTTGTAACAGATTTGAACCTTACCAGTTAACAGAAGTCAAAGCTAGCCAAAAAGCCACAAAAAACTTGGGCTGATGGGTTTTGGGTTTGAATTTTCAAGTGAATTTTTTTCCTAAAAAGAAAATATTATCCTACAATCCCTTCACCCACCAGAATTCATCCTGAAATTCTGCTCTCTATTAGATTTTAATTAGGATGTCACAGTAGATATTGATGATAGAATTATAGGAATGACGGGACAACACAACACTATACTTTGCACTAAATTCCCTTGCGGAAAGGATTGCTCAAGATTTCCAAGGTCATTACCCTAAGTGAGGTCCTCCATTCATTAAATCGAACACCTGAGCTGGATTTAACGACTGTTTGAATCGACGAAGAAACTTTACTCCCTGATTGTCTCCACTCTTTGAGTTAACAAAAACTAAAAGAGGACTGGCACAGGATGGCGGGCATGTGGCTTTCCAGAAACCTGTGAACATAGTTAGAAAGAATGAAATAAATAAGGCTTTCTAATATGAACAACACAAAAAGAAATCATGGGAAAGAGGAAGAAAGGGATGAAGGACAAAAGGAGTACATTTTATCTTGCATAATGTAAATGCTACACTGAATATTAGCCCTGTAAGGAAAACATAATTGCTCAAGATTTACCAGTTCATTTTTTTCCTTCCAGCATTTTCAGTGCCTAGATTTAGTAAAATCCTGAAGACAATAGATTTATTGTTTTTCCACAGTAAAAAAAACTGTTAACCTTTTAGAATACTTCTCAAATCTCGTCTTTACAGATTATCACATAATTAAATATATATTTCAGTTACAAGTGTTTGATTTTTAATCTGATTTTTCTTTAACCTGATTGGGTTGAACTGGATCATCTACGTCTATACGAGCTTTCTAAGAATACTCACAGATTTTAAAAGTTACTGTACTCAGCTGCTCCCCACTGAGACTTTGCATGAGAATTTTTTTCTTAGATTGAAGTTACACTATTAATTGTAATAGAATCCCTGAACAACAGACCTTCAGCTGTGATTCAAAGCTTATTAAAGTCAATGCATGTCTTAACTGATTACAACAGACTTTCTCTAAGGCTCTTAGCAAGTAGTAATAACGGGCACTGCTGTCACTAACACAACCAGTCCATGGAAGTAATGGTTTCTCAGCAATGCTTCAAAATCAGACATCACAGGTATAGGTTTTGACATTTCAGGCAATAGTGAAATAACTACGTTGCTTTCAGTTGCCTAAAATAATTACTAAAGCTACAAATGAAAAATAGGCATTAAAGGATGCTAATTTAATTCTGCATTATCATAATGTGTAATTTAAAATAAGTTTTGATTAATTTATTTAAATGCCAAGCAAAATAATTTCACACATAGAACCTTCCTAGCATGAATAATAAATAGCAGCGTGACGCTCTGGTCTAAGACACCGCATAGCAAGTAAAGAAAAGAGTGAATATATACAGCATAAGCAATCACTTTTACTAACTTCATACAATAAAATTCATTAAATTGTGTCAAAGTTGTTGGTCTACATTTGCCATCAACGCAAACTATAAAATGAAAGCAGTTAGATTTAATAATACTCCTTATTAAATCCACTCCCTGCCTTTAAGTGCAGCCTCCCACTACTCACGCATCTCTATCCTGAGCGACCAAAGAGCACCTCTAAGTTTTGAACGTTTGCTGAGGTTTTTATCAGTGTCTTGCAGGATTCTTACACTCCTTATATTTAAAAGAAATGTAGAGAGGCTACGGAAGCAATTTGTCTCTTTAGCCTGGTAAAGTAGCTGCTGGATTTGAGTCATTCAGCTAGCTTACCTCTGCATAAAGCAAAGTTATCTAGAATTTGAGAATTCATAGAACGAGCAATGCAGGCATCAGCCCTCTTTATCTGAGGACTCTGGTCATTCACTTGAAAAGTTTCCAAGGGTCATAAATAAAATGGGAGAAAATTTCTAGTGGGGGAACTTTCAAAAGCATTTTTGAAATCATGTCAGTTAGAAAATCCTCTAAAAAGCTACACAGAAAATTATACTATTCTGTAAATTTGAAGACTGCATTCACCTGTTCAGCAGAAGGATTTTAGCCTTGTTTAATGATACAGCTCTCACTAGGCATTGTGAGTCCAGAGCTACCACTGAACACACTACAATACTACGTACCATCAGAGTCTATACTGTTTAGTGCTGTTGGAGGTATGATCGATACCTTACATTGGCCAAGAGGACATTTACGAGGATACAGTTCTTTACAGGCAGTGTGAACCTACAAAAGAAACAAAAAATTATTTCCCTACCTATGTAACAAAATGGACTAATATATGACATTTAGATGTAGCGTGAAGAAGAGCAAGACTGGGGAAAAAAATGTAAGTGTTCAACCACCAATTGCTACTCATTCCACAAAACGCAAGGTTGGAGTACTTCACCTTCAGCTACCCCTATAGCACATAGGAATCGTCTTTTTAAGGGAATCACTTACCTTCATCCAAGAGCAAGGCAGGACCAAGTTCCCAGCAGCCAGCAGCTGTGCTAGGGACAGCAGGCACACTGTGCATACGCAAAACAATAGCTCTGTATATGCCTGCTCCACCTGAATGCTCTGGAAGATGTATCTGCACTAAAGCCAGCATACCTATCAAGCCAGACCAACCCAACAAAGGTGGGTCTCATAAACTTGTGCTGTGGAGGTCTCTTCTGTAGTTATTTGAAAAACAGGCACATGCAGCAGGTGTTGCACTTCACCTAAATTTCAAATCACCTCTGGAGATGCCAATTATTTCGCACTGCCTACACACAGAGCCTCAGACATCTATATGCCAAAAGCCTCAACAATAAAAAAACTGCTGACTTTCCACTTCTGTAGCCTAGCATATGAAACCCATCGTTTTAGATAAGTTAAAAAAAATTAAGAGAAAACTCTGTGTCGAGGAAACAGCAATAGTATGTTATAGAATTTCAATCAGCAACCTACAGAGTGTCCTGAAGAAGAGAACTTCAAGATTTTGCAGCTATAAAAATATTACTACAATAATATTAATAAACAGTAATAAATATTAATATTACTAATATTACTAAATGTTACTAAAATATTATTACAGCCATATCTATTCTAAAAGAGGCAAGAAAATAACATATGAGTATCAGGCATACAGAACAGGCATCTGAACCTTCAGTAATCTGTTAGGAGAAGGCAGAGAAAACACACTGGATGACAACACCTATTAAAGAAAAGCTGCATCTGTGGGCGTATGAAAAATTAACTCAAGTAAGTATGGCAAATCATGAGAAATTATGAACGTTGGAGAGACCTAATTTTGCTCTAGCTGCCTGCTCCTACTTAATCCAAAAGCACGGTTATGAAATGACAACATAAAAATAACGGCAAGCAATAAAGCTGGCAAAATCCTAGATGTTTGGATGTGGTTCATTGCACCTACCATAGCTTTACACCAAAGGCACTTCCAATCTTGCAGGCGTAAAACACTGCCACAAGTCTTGTCACAGACTGCGCATTTGGCACTGACGGGCAGATTACCCTCTAACCACTGGTGAGGCATCGCTATCTGTGAAGAAGTAGTAATAAAAGTTAAATACTCAGCAATAGAAATTAGAGGCTTCTGTCTCTCAAATACAGGTGGATTTAAACTATTTCCCATAGCTCTACCCTGTCATCAAAGAAACAGGTATGGCTGACCAGGACAAGTGACACTGATGGTCGCAAGGCAACAGCTATGAAGGTGGATTATGGTGGTGCTTCTTTCACTTGCTAGGCAGAAAATGTGACAGCTGAAGAACGGAGACACATCTCATTCAACTATTCATGGTACCATGGTAGCAACTAACCACAAAACAATAGGGTAATTAAATCTAGAGACTCCATAATACAAGTAAGTACCCATTCCCTTAATGTGGACTCCATGACACACACCAATTAAAATAACTACAATTCAAAAGAATAGGCAGGACAGCAGAATATCTCTGTGGCTTTGCATACTGCCTCAGTCACCACAGATGGTAAGTCACAGCTCTATAAAGCAGTCCCTAAATGCAGTGCAAAGCTTTACTCGGTGCATTCTTTGTCCCATTAACACCATGTGCAACTCCAAGTATAGACGGAATGACACTCATAGGTATGCAATTCTGTACTAACCTTCTAGGAAGAAGTTTCAAGCCAGTGGCACATATGCAGTTGTGTTTGTAAAAATAACCCATCTGTCACAATAAACCTCTGAAAAGCTTTTGTCATTTCTCCTGCTAATTTTAAAATTCCTTCTTTCATTAGTAAAAAAAACCCCGCACCTCAGTGAATTCCGAACAGGCCTCCTGGAAAACAACTATCGTAAGGAGGACACAAAATAGATTGCCAAAACAGTGCAGTAACAGTATAAAATACCATCTTTGCTTAAGAGCAACAGGAACTTCTGGGGCCAGTTGTCCAGCTTCAGAGTTTCTCTGCATGTGGCCTTTAAAAATCTTGTAACACAGCTGCAATCTAGCGCCCACAGATACTAAACGTGTCTTGTGATATAGGAATATAACTTTCGTTCCAAATACTACACTAATCTTTGAAAAGCATTCAGGAATGTAGCCACCTACCATTAACTTCAGTGGGTCACACAGCAATATTTCTATGCTTAGCCTCCCCCCCGCCAAAGAAGAAACAGCTTTGGAAAACACTGTAAATATGAATAGTACTTACACCATCTTCATCTTCAATTATGTCTTTTCCAATTGAGGCTAACGTAGTCCATTTGCAGTTATTTGTTGCTCGGACAGCACATCTTTTATGTGCTTTAAACTTACACACTGGAAGGCACACATAAACATGTATACTATGTTATTTGTTGTATTTCAGTGATACACATCTTTTAAAAAATTAAACACAGATGTTCCATAAAACAGCCAAGTACACGTCACTTAGTGTTGCACACATGACACAACCCAACTAAAAGAAAATTCAGTTCATAATCACTCCAGCTTTTATTTCCTAAACTGGGTTTAACTGTTTAGCTGTAGCCCATGTTAAGTGTGTCCTCAAATCCACATCGGTCCCCATTTTTTCAGGGGCAATAGCATTAAGGTTCAAATATATCTTTAGCTATGTTTTTGCCTTTTCTGTTCCTCCAGTGACACAATTCAGATACCCGGTTTAAATTTGCAGGAGGTGATGGGAGAGTGTTTCACAGAATTATTTGCTTCAGGAGCTCTGTTTCTTTGCTTAAAGAATCCCTTTTGGGCACCACACTATGCCTGTTCTCCCAGAAGCTGAGAAAGTGAAGGGTTAGGTGGTGATATATTTATTCAGGATACTGGTGGTTACAGTATTTTCCAAGAGGTTACATTAAATGAAGAAGAGCCTGACATCTTACTGGATTATTTATTAAAAATCTACTAATTGGAATGCTCAGCACAAGTGTGTAGTACCAGCAGACATTTTGACAATCTAATAACTATTTGTATTTTGTTCAACTCAATATGACTAGTTAATGGTATCATATTATACCAAACAGACTGATGCCTACAACTGTGGGTATTTCTGTTACTGGAAGTGCATGACGTCATTCTATTTAGAGTGCATTATACAAATTATTTTGGCAAAGACCATTAAAGGTTTATGAGAACTAGCCAGCAGACCAGAAGCAGTAGTCTCTTTTCAAACAAATATTTGACAGGAAACTATTAAAAGCTTTGGCCCATTGCTTGTCCACCATTAAAAACATTAAGCCATGGTACAAAAGGTCTTGTGAATCATAAATTTCTCATTTTAATTCCACTGATACATTGCCAGATCAATTTAAAAAGTGAACTGAGACTATGCAAGCAACATCTGAGTTTGAGAGCAATTATCTGTGTTCTGGGAGATGTGTGAAAGTATGTGCTTAGCTCAAAGAAAGACAAGGAAACAGAAAAAGGAGTTTTGTTGTTTTTACAGTAATTCCCCTGGTATTTCAAAAAGTGGAGTTCATAGACCTGAAGTGTGTGCAAATATCCCATATTACTCAACTAACAGGGAAGGCTCACATTTTCAAAATAGCTCAGTAATATATCGTGTGTTTGCCAACCTAGGCTGGTTCCAAGCATCTAAAGAAGTCAGCTCTCACAGAAGCACAGAAATAAAGGCTGTATTTTCAAAAACGATCGCCCTTGAGCAGTTTTGCCACTAGAATGTTTTGGAGAAGATATGCCATCTTCATATTTATAAATGAGACACATTTGTCTTTGCTACACGGATCAAAATACAACAAATAAGGCATGAGGGGCAGTAGGAAATCCCAAATGACTACGGCACAGCAAAGTAAGGGAATTTTCTATTGAGCTATGGTTCAACTAGATCCCAGGGCTGTGTATTCAACCTCTGCTCTCTCAAGAAGGCAAGGACAAATTCAAACCCGGGATCTGAAGAGCTGCAGCAAGCCACACCATGGATAGCAAGTGACAGCTAATGTTTGCCTTGTGGGTACAGTATATAATTTACCAAATCTCAGATTAGACTTTCTGTAGATCTCCCCCCTGCAGCCCCAATATCATCAAACAACAATTCATGTTATTCTGAGCATTAAATGTTACCAAAAACAGCGACCTTAAGACCCAGATGTAACTTTCAAGCAAAATGCATAGCAGTACAGAAGAGACGGGTATAGAAAGGAAAATTTAAAATCAAATCTCAACCTTAGTTACCACTACCCCCTAATTTCTTTTGTCTTAGATGACACTGCATCCCGTTCATGAATCAAGTCTGATATCTGAAATCTTTTGGAAAGATGCAGATATACTGCTAGACATCAATTACCATCACTTCGCCAATGAAAGTTAAAAAATGAGAAAAGGAAAAATTTAGCCAAACTAAATCTAGAATATTCATAGAACATTATTTTAAATTTTAATTTCCTGTGTAAATATTTCTATCTGGAATATGAAGCAGGTCTCTCAGAAAGCCAACCAAGAGAACCACTTAATTAGCAAACAGTTGTCACAGTGGTACCAACATCTGCTGTCAGACAGTGTTTAAATCTAGAGTTATTATTAACTCTAATGAAGAAAAGTCAACATTACTGAACGTTATCACAGGATCTCTTGCACTGAAAATATACAGCTTTGTTATAGAACACTTCTGTCTCAAAGGCTTTTCATTCTAACTACCCATCAATTAATTCAACTGCATTGGCAAGACACTAAATTTTTTCCCACCAAACTTAGCACTCTACCACCTATTTTATGATGAGTTTTCTCTCCTGTGTTCTTCAAAGAAGAACTGGCTCAGACTGTTCTCTTCCAACTTCAAAGGCCAAAGCCAAAGTTTTGAAACTGATCTGAAGGTCTGGTATCTATAGTTTAAGTAGTCAAGACGGAAGGATTTGTCTTCAGGTATTCCAAGAAACCTGCTGTTTTGTTTCCAAGAATACTATCACATGATGGATGGATAAGCCACAGTGAAAACAGTGACTCACGTGAAAACAGCAACCTAACTTCACTCCAACTTGAAGCTTATGTCTGTGTTATAAAGGATAATATTCAGCAGTTTCTTGGTAGTTTTTACTACTTTCACCCAAATAACCCTCTAAGTTAATTTAATATTACAGAGTGTTAAAAAATACTCATATTAGACAGTCAAGTACTACAAAGTGAAGTTACTCATGCAACTTAACTTTGCAATACACGTTTGCAATATAGGTTCCCTATGCAGGTGTAAAGTCTCCAGTTATATGATCATACACTTTTTGAGAATGGGACCCTCAGTCACTGCATACAATGGATGGTTCTTGGTAAGTACGCAGCTGTGCTGTACTCTGGTTCACAACAATTTTCAACAGGTATTTGCCTTATTTACCAAAAGCTAATGAAATACTGCTTTTAAGACAACAACTTCTTCCTGGCCTTTTAAAATAGTAATAGTAATTATAATTATTATAATTATTACTATTGCTACTGCTCCTCCTATAATGCTCAGTACTACTATAATTAAGACCTTTTTTTTCATACTGTGTATCTTCAAAGTACCGGTGACTTCAAACAGCTTCAACTGATTTTTGCAGTTACAGAAAACTCAGCATTTCTGTGATACAGATCCCAGATTATGAACAACACACAATTGCCGATTTGATCAAAAATCTTATTTAAGTGATTTCCCCAGGATTACAGAGGGCCACAGTGTGATACAAAGTCATAGAACACAGCTTTCTATTACTCCTTAATTCTTTAACAATGAACATCCCTTCTCTTCCTGACCGCTTCATTCACTATTCACTCTCCAGCCTGTGCAGAAAATGCAGCAAAACTCACTAGTAACAAGCGACAAGAGGAAATGGCCTCAAGTTACACCAGGGTGGGTTTAGGATGTATATGAGGAAAAAGTTCTTCACAGAAAAGGTTGTCAAGCATTGGAACAGGCTGCCCAGGGAAGTGGTGGAGTCACCATCCCTGGAGGTATTCAAAGGACGGGTAGAGGTGGTGCTTAGGGACATGGTTTAGTGGTGGTTTTGGCAGTATTAGGTTGATGGTTGGACTTGATGATCTTAAAGGTCCCTTCCAACCTAGATGATTCTATGATTCTACGAGTCCATGATTACCCAAGTAGTGCATGCATGATACTCTGTGCAGTGGGTACGAAGAATGGGGTTTTGTGGGCAAAAAACTCCAATCATAATGAAAAAAGACCCAGTGCACAAAGTGCATTTGCAGAAGCAATTTAATCTCGGTATTTTCTTATTGCTTGACTTCATGATCCTAAAGCGTTCTTTCAATACTGTTTGTGTAATTCATCACAGGAGAAAGTGTCTCATTTAAACTGCAATCTCCAGCTTATTAGATATATTTGATATTCATGAATCAAGATTCAGTCATGATAATGAAAACACTACATGAAGAAATACATGTTGGAGAACAGTCATAGAGGCAGTGTTCCACTGGCAATGACTTGGATAGAAATGCAGTATTGATACATAGTAATCAAGGTTAGAGGGCTTTGAAAGAGTTTCTGTAGATAATCATATCATCGATGATCTATAGTTCTTTAGGTTTCTTTGCCTAAACATTCCAATGTATACCTGTGTTTACCTGACAACTTCTTAGGGTTACACTCCTGAGCATACAGCAAGCTAAAGTCTGAATAAGAGAAACATTTGAGAAGCATAAAGAACAAAAATCTTGATTCAGCTAGTTGGGAGTAATTTCCAATGGAAGGCAAAAAAATGATAATTTCTCTGTCCTACTAAAGACCGTGGATGAGTGTTGTGGAGATCAGTCATTTATAGCTAGCTAGAGCACACAACGCACAGACAACATTTGAAAAGTTAATTATCTTTTGAGAAGACATGAAAGAAGGAACTAGTGGGAAGAATAGCATTGCATCTCAAAGGAGTGTATGATTAATTTTTTTTAAAGTTTTTGAGCAGTAGAAAGAACGAAGCCTGGTTATAAATTTACATCCTCAGTTTCATATACATATTGATTCTTTGACTTCTAAAAAGACACAAGTTCACGCTACAGTCTTTTCCCTACCCTGGCTTCCACAAAACCTCAGGGTGGCCTGCAATTAATTTAGTCAACCTTTGGTGAAGGCTACTGGGAGGGAAGATACCCTGAAAAAAGAAGGCACCCATCTTATCTTCAAAAGAAATGCGGCTTATTGTGTGGTCAGGCTGAAAAAAAACCCAAACAGTTGTATAACGCTGCTGGAGACCAGCAGGCCTGAGAGAATAAAATATTACAGCACTGTTCTTCTAAAGTATGGTAAGCTGCAAAATATTGGCAATGGGATTTATTTTTATTTTTACCTACAGTCAAGAATCAGACCGCAAAGAGTACAAAGACTCTAAGCCACTTTCAACATAACTTGGTGTGCCAGTAACCCAAACCACTGAAAGGAGAAAGAGCTCCAATATCTCTTGGGAAGAAGCCTCTCCGGCTTCTCAATACAAGACATAATAAAGTAGCTTGGGATCAATGACCACACAAATAAATGAATTTAGTATATGTATAAATGGATTCCCAGCGTAAAGCAGTGCTGGAGGTTTCAAATGCCAGGCATGAATATTTAAACAGTTTTTTTTAAAGAGGTAATGAGAAAAAGTAGCACAGAACACGTCTGGGGAATCTTAAGACTCCATACTTCCTACATTGTCTCCTCAAATAGCATATATTGCTAACACAGTGTAAGTCAAAAAAATAGATGGTGAAATGCATTAGAAATGCACATAGCAGAAGTAAGTAAATATGAACTCAGTCACATAAGAATTTCAGAGAAAAAAGTGGTATCAAACCCAAATACACTTCTTAGATGAAGAAATTAAGGATGATTAACACAGAGTTTTACAGGTATACAGAATCGGGGACAAAGTATGAGTATTGCAGTGAAGAGTCAACTGTCAAATGATTTAGATTAGATGCATAATTAAATTTTCTCCTTTTATTTAAAAAAATACTTGGAAGTAAATTAAAGAAAACAGATACAAACTAGCAGCTAAGAAGTAAGAGGAGGTAAACTTATTAATAGACAAAAGAATATCATAGTATCTACGTAGAAACCAATCCAGGACATACATGTTTATGAAACTGTGGACCAGTGAAACCAATCCAAACTACCTTCACGAGCCGTTCCTAAAAACTGCTGAAAGATCATCTGGTATCAGAAATGTGGATAAACGCAGCATTAGTTTGCCATAAGTTATGCAGAAAAGTGACAAAGTCCAAATCTGGAAATTAAGGAAACTTCCTTAATGTAAAGTTAACCCAACACCCTGGAAATTAAAACCATACTTAGAAACAAAATAAGACACTGAAAAACCAGAAAAATTATGAACTACAACTATTAACATTGATAACCTTAAAAGAATAATTCTAGCTAAACAGCCTTTTAAAATACCTATAATACTAACTTCTGAAAAGAGTTAATTCTTTATGAAAGGAAAGAAGTCTTTCCTTTCCTTTCCTTTGCCTGAGCAAATATAACTGTGTTTGTACACAGAGGCAATACAACTGCATTTAGTTAAGCACATGATACTTCCATCTGCCAATATCAGACATTGGAAATACCATAATTGCCTTAAAACTGTCCAAGCGACTTATACGCAGTGGAAAACATACACCAGAGAAGCTGGAAGTAACTATGCTACTTCTAATTTCTATGAAACAGGTTCATCCCGTTCCTTGGCAACTACACCATTAGCTACATTAAAAGCATGGACAATTCAGGACAGTGGGTTAATGTTTCCTTTGTAAGATTTCCTTAATACAGATTATTATGCTCAGACCTCAAGTATTGTAACAGCATCAATAACAGAAATGCATTTGCAGTTGAGTAGCACGCATCCAAAAAAATGAAGCTTTGAAGGGTTTAACTGTAACTCTTTTCTGGACATTTTGGTAATTAAGTATCTCTACGTTTCTTATCTATCATAAGGTCACACGGATGCTTTGTTTTCTGATTCTAACACAAGCAGACTTGGTACCACTTTTCCACAGAACTTGCAGCAGAAAATAAACAAGGTGTTTCAGGTTTATGATAAATATTTGTTTGCGAAATATCGTTTCTCCAGATAAGCTTAGTGCTGAAGTCTTAGCCGCACCTCCTTTTTCTTTGTGCTTGATTTCAGCTGTTGAAGCATCAAAATGCAAAGGCATCTACATGTCTACCCCCTCACTGCATGAGAGAATTTTTAAACCAATAAATCTGCCCTCATCTGTCCTGCCTGTACTGCAGGATCAGGCAGCAGCAACAGAGCAAACAAAAATTGGAAGGGAAGAGGTCATAGCACTGGACAAAGTGTTATCAATTTTTCTAGATTTTGGGGAGAAACTACCATTATGATTTTTTTCCTAAGGAATGCTGATTCTGCAAACCAATAAGACTATTTTGTTTCACATTTTTGACGGGGCAAATCAAACAAATCCTATCTTTTCTCACAACCTATCCACCCAGAACATCCCAAACTGGTCACTGCAGCAGAAGGAACTGTTTTATTGAGATGGGTTAGAAAAAGGCACCTGAAGAATGCAAGAAGGTGAGCTAGATCACCTTCTAGCAGTCCCTCTGCCCAAAAGAAAGTCACTCTAGTGAATAGATTTCTCCCTTCAGGCTTTTTTCTTACTTGTTATTTTCAGAATCATTACTCGTCTTAAACTTTCAGCCATCTGTCTACATTATAAACAGGGGGAAGAAAGCGTTTATTTTACCTTCACAAGACAGGCCGTGAGAAGTGACTCCAGAGAGGCTCTCTCTACACACGTTACAGAAGGTAGGTCGGGCATGGGAGCAGGCGTACCAGTTATGCATCCCTGAGAAATGTTCCACATTAAACTGTGCGGTCTAGTAAAGGAGAAGTTAAGACAAATTTGCAAGTACAGAACACAGCTACGGTGACTGAAATTACCTACGGTTCCATATTACAGGGGACGACAATGTAACGTTCACCAAAAGTATTTTCCAAAGGGTACTTAGCCTGGTCTCCCTCCAAACTTCTACACAAAAGTGTGATAATAAGCTCTCATTTCGTCTTTACATGAAGCTTCACTTTGACATTAGACAAGCTTTTCACACTAAGGAGGGTGAATGCTCCAGTTCTGTGTCCTGTAGCTTGATCTGCTGAGCTAGAACAGGTTGCACTAAGAGGGATGTCAACTTACCTCATAGTGTTCTCTGGACTGAACGGACTTCAGAGAGCTTATCCAGTCCTCCATTTCTTTTCTGTTCTCAGCACACAATATTAGCCTCCTAAATGGAGTGATTATCTGAAAAAGATAACGCATTCTGGTTAATCCAGATAGTAAAAATCATGATAGACTATAATATTTAATGTATTCTTTCCTGCGAAATAATGCAAAAGGAAGACACGCCCCAGATCACAAGATACTAAACAAAAATATTTTCTTTAATAGACTACCAACAACGAACGAGCTCTTTTTTCCTTTTTCAGTTCCTAAGGTCCGAATCAAGCTTCAGTATAGGTCTTTACAATCTATATTGATCATTCCTCCTTCTCAGCTCCTTGTCTATGCACTGAGATTTAAATACTCGAATGGCAGGCGCTGAAACTGCTAAAACAACCGTTCTGGAAATTACTAATTGACTAAGATTGCAATCCTATTTCATAACAGCATTATAGCAACTGCAAGGTCCATTCCAATTGTTAGAGACAAAAACATATTAAAGGCAAAAGGCTGATAGTCTTAAACAACAAAAAAAGCTTTCATCATATTTCTCTATCTTGTATATTGAGATTAAAGTTACTCAAATTTAAACATACACAAATTTTAAACAGAACTTTCTATATAAAACTCAGTATAAGAACACATACAAATCATTATAAAAAGACACAGAGAACAAAAGCAAACAGCTGAAATCTTATCCTGCTAGGACGGTTGAACGAATTCCTGGAACAAGTTGATGCTGGGGAGTTTTCAGTGGTCTGGTGTTGGATTCTAGAAATCTGAAAATGCTGTGTCTAGGAGGTTCAGAGTATAAGCTGTTTTCCCCCCTCCCTCACCAGTAGAAAAATAATTAAAATAACAGGAAGGCACCAGAAACTATCAGCTAACTCCCACTGAAATTATTTTGAGCGCTGCACTAAAATAGATGAAGCAGTTACTTACAGAGCAAAGAATTTTAAACAAAATAAGTAGATGAAATTAAAGGAAAGTTATTTGGTTTGTTGTAGGAAGTCTGAAAAATAAAACTGAATCCTTTATCAGTCCTATGCATAAATCTATTGCACAGTGTGCACCACCCACAATTGCAAATTACTTAAACAAAACAAAGAAAGGACCACCAAAAAATTATAGTTCTGCCTATTGGGTTAAATGCTACAGGCTAGATAGTGTAACATTTACACAATATTAGTAAACACTTATGTACAGCTGCATTTACTTACCCAGTCTCTGCCGTAAATAGTCTCTAGCCTTGATTTGTCCTATCCACCTCTTCATTAAACTGAGCTGCACTTTAACATATCTCAGAGGCAACGTAACTGAAGTGCAGCAAGCTGCAAGTCACATGGAGGGGAGGCGAAAACCCTGTGGGCTTCCTTTTTCTTTTCTTTTTTTATGTACTCACTTCACATGGAATTGAATAGTTTCTCTGTTTTCTATTTCCTTCAATCTTGCTTAAGCTTTTTAATAAGGTTTATTAGTAGCTGTCCGCGGCTCTTCCTAAAGAACAGTTAATGCAAAGAGCAATGCTTCTCTCATTAGTTTGGAGCCAAACAGACGCTTTATTACTTCAAAATGTTTTTCTAGGCCAGGTCATCAAATGAAGCCCAGAAAAGCCATTAAATCATAATATAACCCTGGCTCCAACAACAATCAGCATTCTGCTGGAATTTCCAGGTTTCAGTGGACTCAGAAATCTTATTTGGGCAAATCCATCCACCAGATTATTTCCTATTATATAGCATGACATTATAATATGGATTAAGTAAGGACAAGTCCACCCAGAACTCTTCACTTTGTGTCCATCCTTCCCCCATGCTACCTACTGATTTTAACTCATAACCAGATGCTGTGAAATGCCATTAAGCAACAACAGCTGCATTTAATGCTGAAGACTCCTGACAATCTTGATCTTTTCCAGTAAAATTCATTCATATTACTCATGTCTTTAATACTACTGATCACAGAAATCCCCTGCGCGTCTGTCCCCCCTCTCAAAATCAAGGCCTTAATTCAGTTGTTCACACATACTTATCTAGTGCCAATTGAGATGCCTTTTGGTATCCAAAGCACCAGCACGGGGCAGGTAAATATGACTGAGGACCATAGCACACAGAACAGCAGCTAGAAATAAGCTAGGTGGGACCCCAAAGCCATCTCAAAAGGTACTAAACACCCATATATTGGCAACCAAATCCTGTCACCAAATATTGCTAACTAATGCATGTAACCATATCAGAAATTCCTATATCCCAACTTCTTATTAAATTCAGAGCATAGTAAACTTAATAAAGTTCAGAGCTTTTCAACAGTCTAAAAGTTAAATTATATACTGATGATCACACGAATCTAGGATCAATTCTTATCAGTGCCATAAAAATAAAGTGAAAAGTTGTAAGACATATTTGTAAATACAGCACCTATAACATGACGATTAAACTACATCTTCTCTTTGATTTACGGATTTTAACAACAAACTTCAAGAAGGTGTATGATAACATGAAAAAAACCAAAATGCATTATATGCAAAAAATATCAATAATGCTTGGAATTTTTCTTTAAAAAAAAGAAGAGAAACTAAGCGGTTCATTTAGGTTCTCATCTAATTCAACCTACAAAATCATGGAGAAGATGTACTCTTGTTATTTATCAGGTATTTCACGTAACATAAGAACTCAGGGAACCAAGGAAGTGATTAGCAAACAACAAAAAGTGTTTTTTTCCTAAATGTAATGCATTATTTAGACTTGAAGAGTATTCCCAAAGGATGTTGAGGAGACCAGAAGTTTAAATGTCTAAAAAGGTACTTGACAATTCATCACGAATAGATATATCGTATAGTATAAAACACAATATCTGACACCTTCAATATCTGACACCTTCAACTTAGCAAGTCCTCAAAATCCAACAATGAGTGAACGTTGGGAAGTTATGCAAGAGGAAGAATCACTGTACACACTCTGCTGCTTATAGCCCTTTCTTGAGTACCTGCTACCGCTGTTATACTACTTTGATTCAGTATGGTTTTATGAGATTTACGCTAACTCGGTATAGCTGTTCTTGCTTGTCCTAAACTGAGAATGACTTCCTGTACCTTCTTATTTGCATTTACACTGAAGGCGTGCTTTCTTATGGATGCTTATAGAAAGTTAAGATTAACTAACTTAAGTAGGATGTTTAGAGTGTATTCATTAAAGACAGCTGAAGCTGTATGCAGACATAATCAGAATTAAAATAGATTTAATTGTCCTGAAAATTATTTTCCAGCCATGTAAATTTGGATTTTACTTGTAATCTTATCTCTTTGCATGTAGTTATATTCAAAGTCTTGTATCTTCTCTTCTACCAACCAAAGTCAGTATCTTTTCTTCTACTACTTATTACCTTTTTTTAAATTAATGCTCACTGCCCCGAATATTATTATTTATATATCACTCTGAATATGCTGAAGTCTCAACAGACAAGAAGAAATGGTATAATCCAATGACAAAGCAAGTGTCACAGGGACCAGTGGAAGACCACTGAGGTAACATAAGAATGAGGGAACTCTTAAATCTTGGAGGAACTTAGGTGCTAATGGTTAACACGCTGACAAAGCAGGAGACAAATCAAGAAGGACGAAGACAGACAAAAGGCCTTAAAAATAAATAAATCAAGAAAATTTAATTTAGAAGATTAAGTTACAATGAAGATTTTCACCACTGTCAAGTAGCCAAGAAGAAGTCACTGCTGATTTTGGAAGAGGAAATTATCAAAGCCAGATACTGCAGTATATTCAAAAGTAATGAAACTGAGGTAGAGGGAATAAAAAATGTTTTTAACACAGTAGGCATAGGGAAAGGGTGAGCATATACAGTCTTAAAAGTTGAAGGCAAACAACACAAGTCCTAAAAACATCACAGGGAATAAAGAATGTCTGGATAGGAAGAAAAATGGCCCATTACTGCGGTAACATTCCTGTTCCATTCAGAAAAATAGGGGTTTTTTTTGAGTGGGGAATGAAGGAGACAAGAGGATATTGTTCAGTCTGCTACCACGTAGGTCTTGCCATAAATTGGGATTTTCACACATGTTGACACCGGGATAATTTGGCTTCTAAAAACATACGCATACTCATATATATGTACATACACATCTGGAAATTACTTCGATGACAATTACACAGTCAAGTTTTGGGCAACTACTGCAACTTCTCCTTCAGACAGCACCTACTAAGAACAAGCTTAACATCTTAAAAGGAAATAAAATTGCTATTAAATTCAGTGTAAATTTGAAAAAAAGCACCTTTTGCTTTCAAAGGGGCTAACTACCAATAACATTCTATATGCCTTCAACCCAATGGGTTTAGACTTACGATCTGTAAAGTAAAAACACGGATTGTTGAATTAAAGCTTACTGCCTAACTTTTAACATATTTTATCATATCATCAACATATAAGAAAATACAGTTCCAAAAGCCTGGTGGCTACATTTCTGGTTTCCTTTAGCGATTCAAAGAAAAATGCAGACACTGTATTTGCTAATCAAGAAAATAATGGTCTACATCTCAGCGGCAACCAGCAGCTATTGTAAAGTACCCCACTTCCTGCAATATGATATTTGCATTAAGGCACCTTCTGCTGCTCTAAACTATTATCAGGCATTACACTAATAGCACTTTGTAGGGCCGATCTTGAATTGACTTAGTAATGTAGAAACATCACTTAGAATCTGAAACAGGCAGGGAAATGGTCTTCCTGTTCTTTGCACAGATATTTTTAAAGTATCTTTCTGGAACTAATGAAGAGAGGGTGATAGAATGAGAGAGAGCACCCCCACCGCTCCTTTTACGGACCAGACCCGATGTCTGGGGCATGAACGGAAGAGGTTTAATGCTTTGTAACTTCTCTGTGCTACTAGACATTGGCGAGTGAATTCTGGCGAACAGCAGGATAACATGTTATGCCTCCCTCACTTTCAGTCTGCCTCTCCATTTCTCTGTCCTCGTACAGGTGGGTCCATATGAATGTGATGGACATCCATCACAGCGGTGGGAGCAGACTGCTGGGGTCATTGGTGCACCCATAGCAGAGCTTGTCTGCAAA